TTACTGCAGCTATTTCGCTCCATAACGCTGGACGCTCGATCACTTAGAACAGCTACTTCGTTTTACAACTTTCTCCACTAGACTTAAATGATACTAAAAATGGAGAATTAAACGCATTAAGAATACAATACACGATACCTTAAGAAAAATTACTACTGCACCCGTCAAAAACAAAAGCTGAAATACAATAACAAAGATGGCGAATTCTTCAATTTCGAATTTAAATAACCCCGTTACGGGGATCGCCCTGATGATGGCAGCATAAGCATCTGTAAAACTTCTACGAGACTACACAACGCAAAACCCAGAAGACAGACATATTTTCCTTTCATCTTTCATATTACTTTGCTATTCCTTTAATTTGTCCGTCCTATCATCATTCCTATTCCCCTTTCTTCTATTCATTTCCCATTTCGTACTTTTATCTACTTCCAGAATTTCTCCCATAACTGTTCCTCGTCTCTTCCACTCAGCCTTCCTGCCCCGTCTCACGCTTCCTTGTTTCCCATCGCGCGCAACCCTTCCAAATGGAACTATTTTCACTCAAACACAAACAAAAACCCTCAACCAAAATTTTCACATTACAGATGTAAATCTTTAATGGTATGGCACAAACAGCCCGTGGCATGCGGCTGAATTCTGGCTGGCACGTATTAAAAACTAATATCGTAGTCTGCAATATAAAACACTTTGTAGGTAAAAGTTACTTTTGACCAAATTGTACTCCGCAACACGATGCATCGAAAATGTAACGATACATGAAAATACAGTTTTCTGGCTTAAACTAAAAGTGCGGTAAAGTAATCTAACATTAACGAGAAACACCGACACATACGCCATCTAGTAATGTTATTTTGGTTATGGTAATGAGACCGGACATAAAATTCGGACGGGAGATACAATAAATGTTTGCAGAAATGTGGGTAAATCTGTAAGATTTGAGGTTTTCACAGCGGTGAGTAAGAAGATTTCTGTCTTCGTGGATAAATCTAAGCCGTTCCAGGAAAGACTGAAAAGGATATGGAAAGGGAACATTAAGATGGATCATAGAAATCAGTTTCTTTGTGTTAATTAATCTGACTTGAGTTCACGCCGAATGACGGGTAGTACCTAACTTTCGGGGACTACTGTTACGGAGGTATTTAAAATTTAAAATGAACTCTTACCTCTTTTCCTTATGATATTCAAATCGTGAGACCTCAGTGCAGCAAGAATCCGTATGTGAATCGGTGAAGCTCACCTGGAAAGAAATTAAGCACAATAACTTATTCTGTAAACTCAATTTCCTATTTACTACAGTGTGTATAAGTTAGCATTTCGGGTTTGTAACTGGCGGGTACCCGGATGAAATCTTAGCCCAAATATCGTTTATCATACGATTTATTGTTAGTTTCCTACAACGTCCCATAACATTCCACACTTTCGTGCACATCATTAGCATATGTAATAATGACGTTATTATCATGCCAAAACCAATCTTCCAATCACCTGTTCTGGTCTGTGTCATAATATCCAATGTGACATCCTGACAGCAATACTTACTGCAAAAATCAGAATTAATCCGTAACGTGTGATGACGCACAAAGTAAGCGTGTGGATTTAAAGGTCAGGCGTAATGTAATTAAGTCATTTACTATGCTATCAGTTTTTATTAACGACTTACAACTTTTTGTATGACAAATGCCTGAAATGATAAAAGTGCTGCTCTAAGCGAAGTTCGCTTTCCTTAACGGTAATATATTATTGACTGCACAACTGCTTTTTTACTTCCACGAGATAGTAAGCAATTTATAACAGCTCTGCATATTGATTACTTGTTTTCGAGTGGCCCTGTATCTCTTTTTCATTTTCAAAACACAAGAACAGAACTTCCACATATTTGCAATGGAAATATAGACACACAGCTACGACATTGACTATACAATTTCTGTACAGTCCAGCTTAAAACCCTTTGTATCTTAGTCTCGCGATTTTCCTTAGTCATTCTAGTTGAACACAAGGATAATCAGATCTCAATCATTCCTACAGTTCACAGTAGATTATATAATCATTCTATTATCACGTTCAATGCCAATAAACTCTGCAGCTGATAGAATGCGGACAATGACTGTTGAATTGTTTGACGACGCATTTCATCTACATAGGTTATTTTAAGGCACCGAACATTAAGGTGATTTTGAATTTGAAAAGATAAGAAAGAAATCGATCGTGGCCTACTTTATGATGCGATACCAGAATTTTTCCTGAGGTTCTGAGAATAATCACACGCCACACGGACAAGGTTTGAAACCTGCGCCTTCCGAAAAGGAAGGCGCATTGCTAACAACTCGGCCGTCACGTTCGGTCCAGTATCGTTCCTTAATTATCCTACGAGTCAGACTTCAAGCGAACGTTTTCAATTTCTCTCCTCTTAAGTCGATATTACGTTTTCCTCAGTTGTTAATAAGACGTCGGTAAACAACATAAAAAGACAGGTAACGGACAATACTCAGATCGTATAAGTAATACTAACTGAATAACGCTTCAGCACGTGAGATCGGGGATTGTACTACAAGTCGAGTAGAGATAGTAATTTCAAAGTCTAATTATAAGAGACATATATGGAAAGGCTATTCAAACAGGTTAAAAAAAATTTGACAAACGAATCGCGCAAGACAGACAACGCCCTAAGCCATGAGTATGCATTCTGTTGGCCCGCCAGGGAAGACGTTCTCGCTCCACAGTTACCAAATCTGGAATTTCCGACTACCGCCTCCCCTGTTGAAAAGAAATATGGGGCATACGAGTTGTGGTCTATGGACTGACTGGAATACAAATGCTTATCAGGGACGTTCCGTGCGTTACCGGTCTTAGAGTTTCTTCTTAAATTTTAAGTCACTTAAATTAAATACACCGCAACTGGAAAATATCGACGGCTGCAAACTGCACATCTATAGGATTCTGAGGAATTTTTAATTATATTATAACAAACAAACAAAATAACGAAGTAATATAATTCCCTGGTGCAGAATATCCCTGAATATTTTATAGTTACTCAGAAGGTCAAGAAATTCCTTGCCCCTATGAAACCGGAAGGTCCATTAGCCCTACCGTGTGTGTTGAAAATAGCCTATCACTGGACCTCATCTTCAGCAAGTTCAATTAAGTCCACATCGCCAGACTCCATTTTCCAAGTTCAATTTTAATATTATCCTACATCAGCGAACAGGTCCTGCAAGTGATCTCTAACTCATGAATATGAAAACAACTTTTTACACATGCAGCCCATTGTGAAATTCTTCTTTTTAAGGTTCGAATTACCCTTAATATTTAGTTTAAAACATCCTGAGTCTATGTTCTTCGGTTATAATAACAGACCATGTTTTACACACACACATAAATTTAAAAAAAACAGGTAAAATTATGCTTTGTATGGTTCACTAATATTCAGGTAAATATGTACCACACAGGACAGTAAACGAATAGTCGATAGCTATGAAATATTAACTTCTAAGCTGTCATAAACGTGTCAGACTAACTGTAATTTGCTGACAAGCACAATGTAATACGTTGATCTGTGGGAGGAATGTGTGGACCACAGGTTGGGAGACACACTTCTTTACTTCATTTGTAAACGACAACTGCAAAAAGAAGCAATCTCATAACCGAATAAGTAAAAATGCGCATTCATTCTAAATGGAGATAAATTTCTTAAGTTCGTGTTGCTACAATGATACAAAAACTAATATCAAAAGTGGAAAAATGGTTACTACGTTTTCATGATTGCCATCTCCTAAACAGGCATACAGGCTACGTAGCATGGCCCTGTAATTTGAACAGTGTAGATTTATTACACATCTTAGTCATGAAGAAACACTTTACATTTCCGAAATATCAATGGAGGCTCACTGTAGAACGCAAGATCTTTCGAACAGTTAGAAAACACGGTCCCTTTCCACGGTTAAATTCTTATTTACAAAACTGATTCAGTTCCCTCGACCAGAAATCTATGCGGGCATCTGTACATCTTGAGCTTACTAAATCCGGGTCGGTGTAAAAGTACAGTTCTCATAAACATTAAATCTGACAGATAACAAAAGGTTGCAGAAAACTGCTTAAAGAAGAGTTTCATGCATGTCGTACCAATGATGGTCTTCTAAGTCAGTGGTTTTCAACCTGGGGCACGCGTACTCCCGGGGGTACGCGAAGACATCTTAGGGAGTACGTGAAATTTAAAAACAAACATATATTATTTTATGATAAACACTGAATAATCAGTAACGTAATTTATTTAATTTATTTTAGATGTAGATTATATACTATGTGTAACTTGAATTATACACCAACAACTTTGGGGGTACAAAGTTGAAGAGAAATTATATCTGGGGGTACACGAACAAAAAAGGTTGAATACCACTGATGTAGAGGTTATGACACGGTGTGCATTTATAGTTGAGTACCAAAGTTTTGAAGGCGCATACTATCCCGATCTTCAGTCCCTCAAGATGGAGGAAGTTTGTGTCGCAACAGACAAAACCACCATGGATATCTCAACCGCCGTGAGAACCTCAAGCCTCATAATTATAATTATAATCGATACTTCACCAAATATTACGGAGAACAAAACAAGAAAAATTAAATGGACGAGACGTGTGGCATACAAACATGGGGAGATCAAATATGTAAACACAATTGCATAAGGAAGAAAACCGAAGAGAAAAGACAACCTGCAAGACCATGGGGTAGACGGAAGGATAGTATAAAAATATACTTGAAGAAAACAGGCTGTGGTGTCGACCCGATTCAACACAAAAGACGGAGAATTTCTTAATTATGTCAACGACAACCCGCATCTTCGAAAGGACTCTCCTCCATCGGCTTGATTTGACTTCTCCGCGTTGTTAGATTCTCTTTGATTCATCCTAACTCCTCTCTGGAACTTCGAAACTGTTGCAGCCAAAGGTGTAGGTAGTAAAGCACACGAGAGAAACTGCTTCGATCAAATGGATGAATTGTGTTTTGTGGGCTAATACAACACTTCTTGCGTCAAGCGGCCAGTCTCCCTAGGGAGACTCGAACCGAACTCCGGTTTGAAGAGCCACAAGCCCCAAAGATCCCACGGGCGTTGAGCATAGAAATCCTGTTAACTTTAACATCCCGTGTCAAACAGAGATCACAGACCACTCAAGTGAGGTCTCTTAGCGCAATAAAACGGTAAATAATAAGCTTTTCGATTACACGTTTGAACTCCTTGTGTTTGCTGACGTCTGATCGAGGCCATAAAAATAAATAAGAAAAGAAAAGGTATTCTGTAACCAGAAAATACAGAAGTGTATCGACATTTCTGAGGTGCTTGCTGCTACCATGATCGGGACGATGGAGGCAGCAAGGTCGTCTGAACATTCAGCCAAACTACAAGGCGCAAAAACCGACGAACCATCTCGCCCTCGTGAGAACTTCAAATCTCACAAAAGTAATAAAAAAAAGTAGTTACAAATATCACTTGTTTTCATGTTACCTCCGTACCTTTAATGTACAGGAAATAATCACTCCTAAACTACCTTTTTCCCGGTTGAAATTTCTTATTCCCGATTTCATGAGTATGAAAGGGGTTAGAGGTTTATGGTGAGAGTGGAAATATGAAGGTTATTATGTAGATGGCTGTCCTCTGCGTTCTACAACTGCGTAGTCTGTAGAAGTTTACCGACGTTTCAGAGGTGCATTGGTACAGTTGTACTTTGCGTTAGTACACGATGCTACAAACCAGAAGATAGTCATCGACATACTCGCAGCCGTGACAACCTCAAATCATACTACAAAGCTAATTACGTCATGAGTAACATAATATTTTTGGATATCGCAAATTTTCACCTGCGTAAAATTTGTAAATAAACAGCATTAAGAGAAAAAATGAGTCTGGAGATGCGCTGTATTTCTTGAGATAAGCCACCAGACGTACCTTTGACTCCACAGTTGCTTCACGCACAGATGGGATAGACATTAAAAAAAATCGCTTCTACGTCATCAGACTTACGCGGCCGAACGAAATACTAGCCAAGAGCTCTAACATGGGAACTGAGAAGGAGAGAATTCTACAAAAGAGCTCGAGCAGTCTGGCTTGGCAGGTTCATCTCCCAGTACTTCCATTTTAGGGCTATTTCCCCTTTTTCTTGTGTGGGTGATTGGACCGACGTGTAGGCCAGAAGAGAAAAGAGGGTACGAGGAAGAGCAGTAAACGGAGAAGGATAAGAGGAGAGGGAG